CCTTACTGAGCGTGCAATATTCCCCAGTACACCGCCAGCCAATGTGGATGCACTGCAGTGCGATATTGCACCCCGGCGAGTGAGCGTGCAAATCTTTACTTATAAAAGAGAGGCACCTGTGACGTGTGTCTGTGTGTGTGTGTGTGTGTGTGTGTGTGTCACGCTCCTTATAAAGAAGAGGCACCTGTGACGTGTGTTTTTGTGTCACGCTGAAGCGCTGCGGCCGGAGCAGCGCTGCCCTGAGCACGCGAAGGGTGCGAACAGTGTAGCACAGTGTAGCTAGCGGCCGCAGAAGCACTGAGCACGCTTCGCGTGCGAATCGTGTAGCTAGCGGAAGCAGCCACAGAAGCACTGAGCACGCGAAGCGTTCGAATCGTGTAGCCACCACAACGTGCTGAGCACGCGAAGCGTGCGAACAGTGTAGGTACGGTGGTAGCGCTTATACTTATAGCAGACACGATCAGTACGAGTAGCAGTAGCAGCCGCGCGCAGAAGCACTGAGCACGCGACGCGTGCGAATCATGTAGCCTAGCCACCTAGCCTAGGCCATAGGTAGCACTAGCAGCCGCACAAGCGCTGCGGACCACGTGAACCGTTCTCTGCAAATAGAAACATCTGCAACAAAAGGATACAAAAGATCTGCACTGACTGCATGCACTCGTACTCTGCATCTGATCTGCAGTGAAGAGCGCATCGCACTTTTGTTCGTAAGTAAGTTTATGAATTTTTTGAGCCGCTTCATCCGCCACCAGGTGATGGACAACCCTGACCAGCCTCCCGAAGGTGTAACAGACGTCCCTCCTTCTCCTTCCAACGATGAAGAACCTCCCTCACCAGGACTTCAGCGGTCTGGCCACCACCACGCGCTGAGCACGTGTGCTGTTCATGTACTTGCTTCACCCGCACGCCACATTCGGCCAGGCAACGCTGGCGGGGGTGCTGCTAGTAACCTATATTTGCACGCTCACTTCGAACCTATTAGTACAGGATCCGAAGCTCAAAAATAAAATTGGGTCTGCCACTTCACTCCGAGTATTTGCCGCTTTCAGAGCTGATAGGTGATGGTTATAGAAGGTCAATTTTGTTTGTTGGCCCTTCTGAATCGGGGAAGGAGACGAGCGGCGAGAGGGTTTTCGTCGACGATTTCGCAAGCCTTCTCAAGCGTTCTCAAGGAGGTCGCAAATTTATTTTCGCCGTGCGTCCGTACGCGCATGGCTTGAGCATGCACACATTGCGCACCCACGACAAACATTTGAAAAATTTAGGAAATGACGACGCCGTAGAAAATGACGACGCTGGCCGGGGAACTTATTTGAGGAAGCACGAGGTCTTTCAATTTCAATCCCACGCGAGTAAGCATGGAGGAAGACGAGAATTGTGCCTCCTGTGCACAAAGTCCAGGTAGTGTTCGGCATTTAGTGGCTTCAGCCAGTACTCAGGTTTCGGAAATTTCGTGGGGCTCATGTTTGTGCCACTGTGTGAAGATCGAAGGAAGCGAAAAGGAGGAGAAAGTAAATTTCACAAACACCAGCTGGTCTCGAGTGGTATCTGCTGCCAAAATTCGCCAGGACGGCACATGGGCCTTTCTCTGCCAGGAGCAGTGTAGCACGGATGAGAGCACCCCGCGTGGCTGGTACCATAGGCGCTGCTATGCAGCCTACACCCACAAGAAGACTCTGAGTCGTTTTGAGGGAGAGGAGAGTGGTGGCCTTGCCAGCAATGTTGACGCAGAGGAGGTGGGTGACGCAGATGCCTGTGAGGATGAACCTCCCAAGAAACGTGTTATGACACGAAGCAAAGTGACAACCATCGACATCACTCTGTGTATAATATGTCAACAAAAAACAAAACAAAAAAGAACCGGAAAGCTGAACCGCTTACCCTCTGTTCAGAATTCCGTGCTGGCGAAAGCCTGATCCGTGCGGCAAATGCACGTGGAGATGAAGCAGGCCAGCGGATTTTACTTACCGTCCAGGAGGGCAGTCCCGATTGTGTAGCATCGGACATATGCTACCATTTCTGCTGCTACCGTAACTACACTCATTCTAGCACGGTGGCAGCACTGGAGGCAAAGAAGACGACGGCAGTTGCAGACGACAATGTGTACGATAGAGCTTTTGAGTGGCTAGCTGTATGCATGGAGAAGGAGCTCTTCAGTGAGACAGAAATACGAGCGATGCGTATGGACAGCCTGACGTCCAAGTACAGCGCCAAGCTGGCAGAGCTCGGAGCTGCAAGTCAATACCGACGTTGGCTGCTGAAGAAGCGCCTGTTGGAGCATTTTGGAAAACGCATCAACTTCGTCCGTCCTGGTCCATTGTCACCCGAGAGCGTTGTAAGCAGCTCCTTGACAGAATCACAACTGCTACAAGTAGTTGGTGCAGCAGTAGCCAAGGCTGAGGCAGCCCAGCAGTGCGCCGACGAATATGCTGGAGATGATATGGCGGATGAAGATGCACCTCCAGCTATTGATAGCAGCTGCAAGGTACATGCCTTCCACACAGCCATGGCTCTGAACAACGCCATCCGTGATCAGCAGCCCACAATACCCACCATGCCACATGCCAGTGATATCGTAAATGAGAATGCGCCAGTGCCAGACATCCTCTACAATGTGCTTGCCATGACCATTGTCGGCCCTGAGAAGTGTGACATTGGTGACCTGACGGACTCCCGTGTCCATGTCCCTGCCGACATCCATTGCAAGATTTTGGCAATTGCTGAGGATATTGTGTATGCTGCAACTCGTGGATCTATTCTGACACCAAAGCACGTAGCTTTGGCGCTTACTGTCCACCACCACACGAGGAGCAAGCACATGGTGGATCTTCTCAACCAGTTCGGCCATGGCATATCGTATTCAAAGCTGCGAGAAGTAGAAACCGGGTATTCTCTCGAAGTAGCAGGAAGTTCCGCAGCCAGCAGTGTTGTAGTACCCCGTGGCATTTCCCAGCATGGAGGTGATGTTCATTTCTGCTGGGACAATAACGACCTCAACGAGGAAACTCTGAGTGGCCAAGGGACGACACACTGCACCAACGGCATTGTGCTCCAGCACTCGCTGCCCTTCCAGGACGATCCGTGTCCACCAGAAAGTACGAGCCGTGCCGAGCCAGGTAACCAACGCCGACCGCGAAGTGTTGCCCCACCTGCAGTTCCGAGCCTAGAATACAACTGCGGTGCGAGACCAAGACCTCCTCCAATGGCCCATCCAGTTCCTGATGCACAAGGCTCGATTGACCCATTTCTCACTGTGGCATCGATTGACCTGATTTGGTTCTTGTTGCGCGCAGACCAGACGGTATCACCGAAGTTTGGTAGACCTGATGACGAGTCACAACTGGTACCCGCATGGTCCGGCTTCAATGCTGAACTGAACCAGTCAACCGCGCCAGGGACACCAACAACAGTCGGTTACCTGCCGATCATCCCAGCATCGCCTACAGCCATGAGCACAGTTTATGAGCTTGTTGTCCGGTCCCTCCGCACATCGAAGAAGCTGAATCAGCCACATTGTATCATCACCGCCGACCAAGCAGTTTATGCCAAAGCTGTGGAAGTTTGCTGGAAAAATGCTGAGCTGAAGGATGTAGTCCTCCGCATGGGTGCATTCCATACGTCGTGTGCCTTCCTTGCTGTTCTTGGGAAGAGGTTTGGCAGTGCTGGCTTGGAAGACCTCCTCGTCGAGTCAGGCCTAGTTGGCAGCAATGCGTGCAAGCAGGTGATGGCCGGCAAGCATTACAACCGCGGTGTTCGCCTCCATAAGCTTGCCTTTGAGTGTCTGCTGGGAGTGAACTGGAAGCTGTACGAGGACAGCATTGAAGGTGAGGGGACAGAAACATAGGAGTTGTGCTGCAAACTTTCTTTATTGCATTCCATCTGTGCACACTAGACGAAGTGAAGTAGTTTGAGAAATGGTGCCTGTTGTTCTCACTCCAGTGGTCTGCATGTAGCACTTTGTGTTCTAATTTTCTGACCTATGTACATGTGCGTGTGTGTTCATGTATTGAAGGTGGAGGAGACACGGTGTCAAGCGATCTTGAAGGAACTTTGTCAGCATTGCGCACATCTGGTATATTTGATGGTGCTGAGTCAGTAACCAGTTCATCCAGCTACCAGAAACTTGAGCAAGGGTACCGAAAGCATGTTCAGCTGCAACGCACCAGCCCAGCATCACCCATGGCCCAGTTTTGGCTAACATACCTCGACATGGTTGGCCTGCTGCTTCAATTCATCCGAGCTACGCGAACAGGGAACTGGTCGCTACATCTGGCATGCATAGAGAACATGTTGCCATGGTTCTTTGCATACGATCGACAGAACTACTCCAGGTGAGATGCTTGGGCCCTTCATTAAGTTATCAGCTGTGTGACCGACGCAATTAAAACATTTCGCTTCAAATACGAATCATTCAGTTCTCCTAAATTGAGTTCTCATTACATTGTGCTTCACAGGTACCTGTCGCTGTATTGGCAATAAATGCGTCAACTGCCTGCTACCAACCCTCCTGCCCACAAAGCCCTATCAGGAGGTTGCTTCTCTGTTGCAAGGTCTACGAACAGCTTCTCGAAGGTGGCTGTTGATCAGTGCATTGAACAGACCATCAACCGGCAAAGCAAGTCACATGGAGGACTCATTGGCTTCAGCCGCAACCCAGGTAAGGGCAAAAATTCGTAACAACTGACCAAACTTCAAATTATCCAATAGAACATACATGTACACTGATGGGGAGATACTTCCTGATGATCCCACATGCAAGATCAAACAGTAAGCAACCAATGTACACTATGCAAACACAGTGCTGCCCACCTGCATCACGAATAGGAAATGATTCGACTCTAATGTGATCCTGAACAGTTGTGGATTACGTGTACATGATGATGTATTTCTCCTTCCCTTTTCTGTATAATTGTCCTATAAAGGAACTGTTCACCGCTGGGTGCTCACAGCTCACGAGCGAGCGGCTGTTGCAAGTGCATGTAACGACCTCGTCACAGCGGAGGACTATGATGGCACAGCACGTCCACACAAGGACAACACAGACAGCAGAATGAAACGGGATCAAAGCGACTATGGGAAGCTCGAAAAGCGGTTGGCAGAGTTCAGCCATCCGTTCCTTGGTGAAGATTTGATCAGCCTCTCCAGTGGGAAAGTCTGTTCTGCTCAAGCAACCTCCGATCTCCTATCCAGTCACACGCAGGGAAAGAGTGCAATGAGCAAGTTCGTGGCAGACCGCTTGGAGAGTCAGGTAAGACGGTTATGATTTTGCAGCACACCATGTTAAAAGTCTTGACGTGTGGATATATGATAGGATGCATGTTTTGGTGACATACTTTGTTACCAAACACATTGAAATCAAAAGTGACGCTGTAGGGGATGTTATAATTCCGTTCTGTACTCCGTAATCCATGCACTACGTTCTAAGTTGTCAACCCATTTGTGTGTGTGTGCATGCGTGACTTGTTTCTTCCTACAGGCAGTTGATTTCTTCACACCGATATCACGGCTGAACCTGAAGACGTTCTCGGAAACCAAATCTGCAGCAAAGAAGTCTTCCAAGACAACAGCGATCGTGGCAGATAGGAGCTTATTCGGCCGGCTACTAGTTATGGCTCAATCAAGGTCATTCGACTTGAAGGAACTCTTCCAGCATGAGCTTGGACCAGTCCCATGGGCCCTGGCCAACGCAGACGGATCCCTTGTGAAGACTCCAAAGAGTAAGCTGCTGCTTGCTCTTGAGAAGAAAGTTGACCCACTGGAGTCAGTTCCGCGTGGTCCCGCCGTTATGGTCGACGCGATGGCATTACTGCAGAGCTACACATCTGCGCCACCGACATTCGGACAGCTCAGCGAACAAGTCTTCAAGCAGCTAGTCTCCTACCTTCCAGCTACTCCTCCAGCACGAGTTGACTTCGTAGCAGATCAATACCACACTGCGTCGATTAAGTCGTGCGAGCGCTCAAAGCGAACGGCCTCAACTGAGCCCCTGCGAGTGGCAGTACAACGTCCAGACCAGGCTATTCCTACTCAGTGGAAGCGGTTCATGGCAAGCGGAGCGAATAAGGCCGGCCTAATCCAGTTCTTCGCTGACCATTGGAGTTCTACACCGGAGCTCAAGGCAACATTGGGTGTCAGTCGCAGTGTATTCATAACCGTGGGACAGCAGTGCTACGTGTTGCAAGAAGAAGAAGGGAAATCGACACTTTCATGGCACCAGGTGTCCAGGTTAGTATTATAAAAGACAAACAGTACAATGTCATGTTTATTGCGACTTTGACTATTGTCAAGCAAGTGGTATAAAACATTTGCTGCATATTGGTCCCACAAGTACAAGTAGGATATTGCTGATGGATTGAATTCAGTGATGAAAATCACATAATCTGGCAGAGCCATGTTATCGTTCTCTGAATGCCCGGGAAATCATTTTGCTCTTTTTACAATTTTGATCATGTTCACAGGTTGACCAGCAATCATGAGGAAGCAGACACCCGGCTGATCCTTCATGCCGCTGATGCTGTGCAGCAAGGATTCCCAGATATTGTCATTCGGTCGCCAGACACGGATGTAGCCGTGATTGCCATTGGCTCCGCTAGCAGCATTCCCGGTCGGCTCATATTCCAGACTGGCACGCAGCAACGGAGGCGGTTCATCGACCTTACCCAGCTGTCACAGAAGCTGGGCCCCCTGGTTTCGTCTGCAATTGTTGGACTGCATGCTCTTACTGGGTGTGACAGTGTCAGTTCCTTTTCTGGGAAGGGAAAGACTGCTCCGCTGAAGCTGCTCCTGTCAAGCACGCGAATGGCAGAGGCACTGGCGACACTGGGTGTCAATGCTACATCGGATGACCAGCTGCTTTCTGAATGTGAGTGGTTTGCGTGTGCCTTGTATGGCAATCCTGGCCAGCAAGACATCAACAGCCTGCGCTACCAAAAGTTCTGTGCGGCCACATCCTGTGCTCCGCACAAACTACCGCCCTCACGCGACGCTCTCCATCAACATGTGGCCAGGGCTAACTACCAGGCCCACATTTGGCGGAGCGCCACCACTGCGATGCCAGAAGTACCGAGTCCAGTGGGCCATGGCTGGCAGTCGGAGACTGACGGCACGCTTTCCATCTCCTGGATGCTGCAGCGCGTCGCTCCTGCTGACATACTAAAACTGGTGAGCTGTGGGTGCAAGACAAGGCACTGCGTAAGTCAGCACTGTTCGTGCAAGAAGGCGTCCTTGGCTTGCACGGACATCTGCTCGTGCTGCTCATGCGCCAATCCGTTTGGGGCCGTACTCGAACAGAACGACAGCTCCGGTGCCGCAGATGTGGGAACAACTGCATGTGAAGGCGACCAAAACAGTGAGAGCGAGGAAAGTACTGGTGCTGACGACTTTGAAGAGTCTGACTCCAGCTCAGATTCTGATGAGGATCCAGATCAGGAGTTTGACGACTCGCTGTAGACACTGGCAACTGCACCGTCCTCCCCTGGTCCAAGCCACCCATTGTGTTTGTGAATTATGGCTATGGCTGTCAACACACCTAACCTGTTCACACATTGTATATAAACTGCTTGTACATAGCTTGGCTTCTAAAGCGATGACGCTATCATCCTACATTTTATTCCAATTTACATATTAAACTGGGCATATTGTCCATGAATTGCACAGCACTGGACATGTCTTCCTTACTACAGTTGTAGTATTTATTTATTTCATTTTCGATTGAGTAGTGACTACAATGCGTTTATATCACTAGTCTTCTCTAACTCTAATTTAATCGAGTGCTATTGAAGGTGTGTGTGCCTGAGAGAGAAGCAGGGAAAGGGTCCAAGCTTACCTTTGCAGAATGATAGGTAAGGTGTCCCTCGTATCGATCGTATCAACGAAATTCCAATCAAGAAAACATTTCAGATCACTCGCGAAGCGGCGTCAAACTACACGACACGACGGGTAGTTTGTTGGCTGCCATTGCGAGTGGGTAGTGGAAGGACCAAACGATATCTAGGCTAGGCTTACGAAGTCCCTGTGCTTTACTTCTACAAGAGCGAGAGTAAACTTCTTGACCAAGAATATGATCAACAACAAAGTGAAGTCGCCGACCAGATCAGACACTCGCTTTGAGTTTTCAAATTTGACTGCATTTGGTTGTCATGTGCGTACTCTACGCAACTCAGAATCGGCCCGAGACGAAAGGTGAGCAGTTCAAGTGACCGACGAAGCTGAACTAAAATTGCCTCTCGCGGAGCTCCTTCCCCGATCTAGACGGGCCAACAACTACCATTCGACTCCACAACAGGTACTCTCTCCACCTGTACAGTTCGATTTTACTCGGATTCTAGTGGCAGACCACTTTCAGATTTAGACACTTTTTTTTGTCCTGGATCCCCGACTATATATTTGCACGCTCACTTCGAAGTGAGCGTGCAAATATAGGTTATTTGCACGCTCGCTAGCGCTTCGAAGTGAGCGTGCAGATATAGGTTATTTGCACGCTCACTCGCCGGGGTGCAATATCGCACTGCAGTGCATCCACATACTCATCTGGTCATTGGCTGGCGGTGTACTGGGGAATATTGCGAGTCGCTCCGCCAAGCAGTCGCTGCTGACTTGCTGCAGCACACCAAATAATAATTGGTCGAGGACGCTGTCGCGGAAGCGAATGTGGACCCGGCTTGCGTCCGCCAAGCCAACTTCACAAGCTCCGTGAGAGTCGAGACAGCAGACGCCCAAGTATTGGAGAAGACTGTCGACAGCCGATTTGAGAAACTGTCCGACGCCGCCATCGACAGCCTCGTTTCTGAGCAGAAAAACAAAAACACAGAGCCGGCAACTGACAAATGGCTCCGCTTATTCGACGAGTATTGTAAAGACACAGGACGTCGCTGTGACCTGAGTACGGTTACGGCAAGCGACCTAGCTTTAATACATTCTGCGACATGCATACGTCGAATTCCGTCCGAAGAAAGCTGGAGTGAAGTTCTACTCTGCATCAAGCTTGCTCGGTTTCCGTTCCGCAATACATCGCAAGCTAGTCGAGTTGAAGCGGCCCATGAACGTCCACAGTGACCCAGCGTTCAAGGGCGCAAACATTGCATTGAAGGCTTTCCTTATGATGCCAAAGAAAGCGGGAGAAGTCAAAGCGGTGGAGCACAAACACCCCATCAACGACGACGACATGAGCAAGCTGTCCCGCTACTTCCAGGATCTCCCGTGTATAGACAGCAGCTGCTGGAAAGAAGTGTTCCTCTAAAAATGAACGCGACTGGTTGTGCTGTGTTGTATGACTGTGAAATGATAACAGGGTTGCATGCAGCATGCTAGGGTTGCACCAGACTGTGTCAAGTGTATGTGGTGACAGACTGTGTGGTGGCAGGGGTGCGATAAATGTATTACTGCACTCGGACGCGTGCAATACCGGCGTCGATATCTGCACTTACGGCTTCGCCGTTCGTGCAGATATCGGCCGGTATTGCACTGGTCCTTGTGCAGTAATACATACATACTGCGCCTGTCACCGGCGAGAACATGACTGCATGTGCAGCCGTGCATGCAGTCTCAAGTGCAACCTGCATGCGCTACTAGTATTTTAGTACTAGTAATACAGTTGGCCGGGCCCCGTCGTGCAGCGCAGCGGTCGTGTGGTGTCGATCTTGTCGACGTCGAGTCTCGATCGCGGGCGGGCGTAGATCCACAGCAGTACGAAAATGGTACCTGAAATTTTTGACTTACGGGGATCGCCATGGCAAATAATAGACATAAAACTGTACACGTTCGGGCTCTCCGCCTTCTCCGTGAAATTATAATACCGTAAAAGAAAACTAGAGGGGAAAAAAGAAGCAACAATGAGGAATAGGAACTGATTTAGGAACCACTTGCAGTCAGTTACACAGTGCAGCGGGCCTCGGCAACGGCCAAGGTAGCAGATGCATCCGCCACATCGCTGACGCGCAGGGGGCGTCGCCGAGCACCACGCAAACAAACCATGCTGGAGCGAACCAGAGCAAAGCCAAGTCGGCAGCGAATCCACGCCATTACACGGTTGTACGGCTCCTTCGTCTTGTCGGACAGGAGCCCGGCAATCCGCTTATAGCAGGCTGTTGCCGACTTGCCCATGCCGCCTGTTGAGGAGAGAACGAGAGGTGAAAAAGTTGCATGTTCGATCTCTCGAACACGCTCCTCATAGCAGCGGCGTTTCTCCCGTTCGTGGCGCTGGTAGCAGGAGGGTACTGAGGTGGAGCGATTTGAAGCCGCGAAAGGGTTAAAAACCCGTACGTCGAAGACAGTGCGGTCAAAACGCCCACCCCAGACACCACTCGCTGCTATATCCAGCCTAGCCCGGGACGGTCCGTTATGGCAGAGCGGTAGCGGAATGCTTCCCCAGTTACCGGCTGCAGGTGTGGTTCAGTGGTGACGTTGTTGGCGACCCGTTTGAGGAGACCAGCCGTAACATCTCGCACCTCGTTGTGCCTCAGTGAGGGAAACCCACCCAGAGAGCACGACAAGGCGTGGGCGACGGTGAACGATGCACCACACGGGCAGATCGATGGAAGGTGGGTTGGCGGCCAGCCATAGCGGAGCGCAAGGCCATCCCGGAACTCACCCTTCGAGAGGGCAAAGCCATGGGCCTTCAGGGGTCTACAGGTCAGCCAAGCCGACGCACCCTTCTCCGCCGCCAGACCGACACAGAGCTGGATATCAGTGTTCTGCGTCAGGATGAACTCTTTGGCTGCTTGGGCCATTGAAGTGCGGGTACGACTTGCCACCTCCCTCTTAGTGGACCGTACCAGGTCCAGCACATGGCCAATCTGGGTGTCCTGGTCCAGAATCTTGCGGACGAGCGCCGAGGTTATCGCTGCCGATGCCCGGAACTGGTCGCCCAAGGTGGTGGGGTCGACTAAGCCGAGGCCTCCTTCACGGCATGGGAAAGCAAGGACCCTTCGCTCACGTGAGTTTACTGGCTTACCGCACAGGGCAGGAATGAGGACATTGGTGATGGTGTCTTCCAGAGGGCCAAGATTTTCAGCAGCACACTCCATGACTCTGCACAGGAAGGACCAGCGATGCTTCAGGCCTTGCGTGAATGCTGCATAGGCAGCCTGTGGCTGGGTTTCGGCAATCTTGGCCAAGGACACGATCTCGTCTTTCCACCCGTTTGCCTTCTGGGAAACATAGCTCTGGACGAACTCCGTCGATCCGAGTGCAGCACCTAGTATTATGGTTGACCCAAGAGTTGGGGGATTATGTACTCTTCAATCTCCACACATCTTGCCATAGTATACTTGTCCTAATTTTGTAAAACCTGGCTGAATTTCCTTTTCCTGTTCTTGGCCTTTTCTGCAGCTGGCTTCAAATGTGGCAAAGGAGGCACGGGTCAGACAATGCAAGATGTACTGTTGTTTTCACGATATCTACAACTACAGTATGTGCGGAAGACACCAAAAAGTGAGGGTGCCAGTTTCCAATGAATAATTATAGGTTACTGGTTATAGGCGATTCACACGACAGGCAAATCCACGTTTGTCAGGTGCCCGCAGGAAGTGAAACGCGAGGCTGCAGTTCACACGGCCGCGGGTGGCGGCCAGAGCTCCCGCGAGTATCCGGTGAGTATACGGCGTTACTTTGGTGATTTGGAATGAGTACCCAAAGACAAAGGCCAAACAACCAGGGTTCAAGACTACCGTACGATAGTACGACCTCACAGCCTCATAACTGTAAAAGTGCCCGCAGATGAGTGCATCCGCGGGCAAAAAGGCCATGGACACTTTTGATTCCCGCGGGCAAATTTTGTTCACTCGCAGGAATATCTCCATGGTGACTTTCCTGTAAACGTGGATTTGCCTGTCGTGCCCGACAGGTTAGCCTGAGGGCCGTAGGCCCGAGGGCTACCCTGAAGGGCACAAACAAGCCATAAGACCCTCCCTGCCATGCACTAACTATTTTAGAACGAGGTTACATGCATTATCTCACTTCCATTATTCTTGGGTAACATTATATTGGGTAGTTTTGTGGTTTGTGTGCAGAGAGACTTGGTGTGGTATGAAAGAATATTTTCTTCTGGTAAGTTATGGTAACTCAGCACCACTTAGGACTACTAAAAGTAGAATAGAAGCAAATGAAATGTTGGTCTCTAGTTGCGAGCTTCATTCTTATTCAAAGCTTGTGGAGCTATTTAGGGGCTTTGAGAGCCCCTTGTCGATACCTCTCAGGACTTTGATCTTCGGTTTTTATAGATTTCCGCAAGCTGTTGACAAAGGCAATTCGTTTAGATGGGTCCGTTTTTTTGAAATGTTGACGTAGGTACGCGTTTCTCGAGCTCCGTAGTTTTGAGTGGATTTTCCGACTTCAACGTGCCTCTCCCGCAAACCAGCCGATGCAGGGTGCCACTTGTTGCCGGTGCAACGGCAACGGCACCTGCGTTCGGTGCGAATGCATGAAGGAGGGCCGAGAGTGTCGGAATTGTCTCCCTTCGAAGAAGAACAAGTGCCGAAACAGCTCCCCGACTTCCCAACCGTCTTCTCAACCAACGGCCACAGCTACCGTACCCGCTGTTGGTGATACGGTGCCAGACCATACTATCAGCAGGACGTCGACGAGCTCCGACAACAGAGCAACCACAGCTACGACACTAGACTCCGTACCCGTACCAAATGTCTCGAATGTGGAGGTATATTATGGCACCGCAGGCCGCGCACCTGAGGGCCTTTCTGGAAGCCTTACTCGATCGGATAGAGGGAATCTGAGCACCCTGGGAA